AAAACAGCTTCCGTGTCAACCAAAATGTACAAAGACAGGATGGAAAGGCTACTCGATGCTAGGAAAATCTCCCAAATAAAGCTGTCTGGCATGAACCATGCATGTATTACGAGATCTGGATACAAAAGCTCCGCTCTGCTTTGCTTCCGATTTGTTCCAACTAAAGGTTTTTTCCTGCCATCATCAAATCTGTTGTGATTTTATGAACCATAAAGATTTTAAACTTTCCCATAGTCAAAGAAAGTTATTTTCATAGGCCGAGTGGTAACATGTAGACGGACAGAAAACTAAAGGGAACTAGGAAGTGAAAAACGTTTTCTCCTGTGTGTTAGACGAGCAATTTGCATTGGAGTAAATGGGCACCATTGCTTCTGATTGGTTTGGCCAACCTCCCAAACAGAATTGACTAACATGAACACTATGTAGGACTGCTACATGAAGTCAAACAAAAGGGCAGTCCTGTCTGATTATCAACCTGGGCAGAGTGTCATAACAAGGCTGGCAACTGCCCCAGGACCCCAGGCTACCAAGAGGCCGGAAGACTCCAAATTCACCATTTGGCCATTTTGTTAATTTTATTTTTGCAAATTGTACACTTATACTGAATACATAACTGAAACACAAAACAAATGGATATATGAGAGGCATTATTACCTCGAAGACCTCCTCTTGTTGATGGGAGTTAGAATCTAGCTCCAGGGCATATCCATTTATATTGTGTTTACGTGATGTTATTCTTAAATTAATTTGATTAAATGACCACGAATACTGCTGGAATACCAATTGCTAACTAATATATGCAAACCGAGTGTTTTCAGAATCAGAATCAAGTTTATTGCCGGGTATGTTTACACATACAAGGAATTTGCTTTGGTGTATGATGGTGAGAAAACAAGTTGTAAGAGAAGGTCAAAAATGTAACGGTTTAAAAAAAAGAAAATATAAAGAAAAAACGATATAGCATTCAAAAGAATAAAGGCAAATGTTTACACCCAATTAAAAATATACAAAAGGAACTAAAAACCTTAGTACTATGAATATTTTATGACTCACCTCAACCATGTTTAGCTGTGTTCTGGCCCTGTAGGGCTTCAACCCCTTGTTCCAGCAATGTGTTTGCATCTATGCCAGCTGTGCAACCTCTGGTCTTGAAGATGTTCCAATACTCCAGGATATTTTCTAAATGAACCTTGAACCTTGAGCTGAGGCTGGTTTCTCAGCCGCCGTTTCCAAGGCCAATGATGCTCTTTGATTTTCATCTCGACACATCGTTGTTACTCTTAACCTTGACTCAGCGACACACACAACCCAGCATGAAAGAAAGAAAAGAAAGTGATCAAGATGGCAGGAAGATTGAGAGAATAATGAACAGAGAAGCAGAAAGAGGGAGGAAATTGGTTTGGCAGGAAGAGAAGAAGAAGAAAACATGGTGAACCTACGAGGCAGGGAGACTGAAAGCGAACATGTAGAGAAAATAGGTTGAAGAGGCGGAGGTCGGTGTAGCGAGATGAAGAATGAAGGAGACATGGAGCAAATGTTTGGCCACACAGCAAGTGCCCGATTAATTAAATCCACTGTTTGTTTCTGCACTATGGGAAGGCAGCTCGGAGGCTCGTTCTGGCACCTTGCCTAACACTCTCACAACAACACTCCTGATCTCCTTATCTGCCCTCCTCTAATCTGTTATCCACACAGGAGCTGTGGCATCATATCTTCAAATCTGAGATGGTGTTTGTGTTGTTTTATCATCTGCATTTACGTCAGTCGGTGCTCTGAAGCAACACATCTGTTGTGTTCAAAGCCGCTTTTTCAAAGAGTTTCATATTCAATTGGTACCACTTTGCTGCCAACATAAATCCAACACTCTCAGTTAAAGTAATGTTATTATTTATGTTTGAAACTAAATGCTGAAAGCCCCTTAATGTTATTGACTCGGGGTGTAACGGTTCACAGAAGTCACGGTTCGGTTCATACCTCGGTTTGGGGGTCACGGTTCGGTACGGGTTCGGTACAACAAGGAAAAGCAAAGAAAAGTCCCAAATGCATAATTTTTTTTGCTGTTATTTATTTTTAACAGTCGTGCAAGTTTTGGTATGAAAATAAGGAACTCTAACATTTGGAATCATTAACTGTATTACACAGTTAAAAACAAACCACAAATTTCAAGTTTTTCTTCAAAAAGATGAGTTTGTCTACGTTGTCAGTAGTGAGGGCAGATCTGTTGGCGGTAACTATGTCACCTGCCGTCGAGAAAACCCTCTCGCTGGGGACTGAGACTAACTCGGATGTGATTGAGCATGGTTGACGTGTTACCACTAGCATACCGCACCGCTGTCGAACAACGCCGACACACCGTCCGATCCACAACTCGCACCCCATCATTGTTGTAGTCCACAGGGAACCCGAAATGGGAACCACACACCTGATTTAAAAGAAGCAGGTGGGTCTTCTAGCTCCTGTGTGTTGTGTGAACTCGTCATAGATACTAACTTTTCTTCTTCATGTATTGTGTTCGTTTTGTTGTGTTTTGTCATTTACGGGCGGCTGGCTTTTAGGCGCAATACCGCCCCCTGGATTATATATAGTGTAATACTGCCCTGAGTGACAGACTTTTTTCCCACTCGTAAAAAAAGGCGTATTCGCCGTGTGACTACATGTGTCGAACCGTGACGTCCGAACCGTGACGTCCGAACCGTGACGGTACGGGACGAATACGGATACCGTTACACCCCTACTATTGAGTCAAACTTCCCTCTCAATGGTTTGACTCTCCCGCCATACAAAAACAAACTGAGGGCTAACACACATTTGCCTGGCTGTCTGTTACGCATGACGAACACTCACACCAGCAGATGTATTTACATACTCAAACAATACTATGATTACATAAGAAATAGAAAATGTAAGTACGGACAGAAGGTAATACAGCCACTGTTACAGAAGCACATACACAGAACGGTCCTTGTAAACACGCCAAGTGACTGTAATCCCCTCATTCAGTCGTTTGTAAGAAGAGGCAGGTACCAAGGGGAATTGTGGTAATACTGATGTAGCTGCACCTGTCTCCTGAGATAAACCCAGAATAGCTGCGAGCTAACGCAAACAAAAACGTCTCAAAACTAAAGGAAGGCAGCTCAGGTTAGACATGGATCACCGGCCATAATCTTGATCACTCAAAGTTTGTTTTTGATAGAAATCCAATTAATTATTTCAAAAACAGGCTCGCTGTTTCCCCTTGTTTCCAGTCTTCAAAGCTTATCAGCAGCACCTCATGTTTATTGTAAAGATATGAGATTTGTATAGTTGTTTCATCACTCTGCAAGAAAGTGAAACAGTACCATCAAGTAAACACTACTTTCTTTAACTTTATACCAACATTTTTTTGTACGATTTACCAATGTTTTGGAAGCCTGAAAGCGGGACACGTTTTAGATGGGAGAAGGAGACACACCTGGCAGAGATCTGCACTTTACTGAGTGCACTTTACTTGATTTATAATTGAGATAATCAACCTTTAATAAATTCTGTATTTTGGCTGCCAGGTTGTAAAATAAATCCCTTTGGCTGGTGTGTATCCTCAAATAAACCCTTAGAAATATGTTTCTTATTAAGAAGTAATACCTTTCTTTCACAGTAGCACACCCTGCCATAGAAATAGTTTAGTTAGTTAAGTAAAGCTTTGCTGAGAACACTTCTTCCATCTAATTCACACAGGTACACACATTCACACCTTGGAGAGCTATGTCCACTATGTTGATCCTCTTTTGTATGCAGGAAGATTGCTTTAATATGACATAATAAGGTCCCGAATGGCACATGATTCACACGAAAAAAATGAATTGAATGTTTTGAGCTGGGGAGTAAATTACAGTTTAAGCATTCCTTTAGTGTAATTGTCATCCACCACACAGCTCATTGTGTATGTGTCTTTCAGAGTGTGTGTTTATGTGTGTGTGAAACAACCTGCAATTTCAGAGGGTGTTGTTCAAACACAGTGGACTGGCCTCACCCATTGCAAACCAACAGGCAGCGCCGGCCTCGGCAGCTCTTAATCTGCAGCTCGCCTAGCAGGTCTTTCTGCAGTCTGCATGGCTGGAGGTTAATGGAACGCTGCGTATTAAAGCGTCTCACTGCGGTTGTGTGGAAACAAATTTTTGGGTGTCGTTATGTGAGTGGAAATTAAACAGGAAAAGGCCTTAAGGCTGACAAAAGGAGAACAGTAGTTTATATGCGGAGACTGATAGAATCTTGACTGTTTGATCTCCACAAACGGTTTACGTCTGGTCTCAAAAATGCTAAATTACTATCAGATGCAAAACTTGTGAGTCTAAAAATCAACATTATAAAACCAGTGAGAAGCAACCTCACAGTTTTGAACACCTGCTACAAAGCCTCCTCAGCACTACAAGTGAAAAAAAATCAACATGTATTAACTCAAAATAACAAAAAACACTTGTTTTAACACTGGAAATCATGCCATGTTGAATGGATTAGATCAGGATGCCAATTTTAACTGTCATTAACGTATGCATGAATCCAGTTTGACAGCGTTCTTAAGTGATGATTTATTATGATGTGCTACTTAGAGGAGGCATGCGTTGAATGACAAGTTGTTTATCATCACAGAGCTGATATAACTCTGAAGCTGCTGTTCAAAACCAACAACGAGTGTCGAATTAACTCTAGGGGTGGTGAAAGGACTCAAGATAATAAACACTTTATGAAAAGATATGTGCCTGCTAATGGGGAGCCCACATTGAATTAGTTAAAAACACATGAGAGTGTCTTTCAGTGCACCCCACAGATTATCATGACACTCTCCTAATGGCTGCTAATGTGTTTGGCCCACAGCCCAGATGTTGCTCCAAGGAGTCAGATGCTTTCCAATCTGGAGCGCACTAACTTCTTCACGGGCCGGTGGTGCGGCGCAGCTCTCATCACGTTGGCATGATCATCTCACACACACAGAGGGGTGAAAGCAAACCAGAGTGTCTCCTTACCTGAAGTGTCCCACATGTTGAGCTCGATCCTCTGTTTCTCGATCTCGAAGCTGGCTGTGTAATTCTCAAACACGGTGGGAACATAATTCTGAAATGAGACACGCGGGGCTAAAATTAGACCAAAGCTCAGGGGAGTGTTGTGTACATTGTGGATTTTAATTGAAATCAAGATAATGTATCGTAGACAAGAAAAACATGAATATTTCAGTCAGCTGGAGTGCATATGAATATCAGAGACATGAGATAGTGTGTGTGTGTGTGTGTGTGTGGTGTGTGTGTGTGTGTGTGTGTGTGTGTGTGTGTGTGTGTGTGTGTGTGTGTGTGTGTGTGTGTGTGTGTGTGTGTGTGTGTGTGTGTGTGTGTGTGTGTGTGTGAGAGAGAAAGCTAGATTCTGAGTTTTGAACTATTTCCAAATTCAGGAAAATATGGATCTAAAGCTGTGTTTGACCTAACCAATAACACTTCAAAAGTTTCCCAAGAAATAAATATTAACCTTCAAGAATATTTTAGTCTTTCTTTACTTCTTGGTAACAGCTAATTATATTGGGCATTTTCGATTAATTGTCATCATAATACTGAGGAAAAGGCACAACCTCACAACAGACCAGTGCTGAAATGCTTTATTGTACTACAAAAAACTTCCTTAAACTGATTTACAAGAGTAACTTGTTTCTGAATGATTTAATCTTGATTAATTTCATTAGACGTTTAGAGTTTTTAGCCTAAACATTATAACTGTACATGTATTATTGTCTCTCGGAAGTGTGGGTACAGTGTTTTGGTAAGAGGCAGTTAAGCTCTCTGGCGGTAGGTTTGGTCACAAAGTAATGTTTCAGTATTTACAGACCAGACTGATGCGCAAAGGCGCGCAGAGCCAGAGTTCAGTGGCAACTGGGCACTGAATTGTCTCGAGTCTGAAAATATTTGTTCTAGCAAATGTTAAGAGAAGTAACCTGTCTGAAAAAAAATCATGAAATCTCATATACAAGATCATTCACAAAAACACATGAAATTCACGTAAATAGAAAAGACGTTGCTTGTCATCGCCCAGTTACCATACATTAGATGATAGGAGCAGGTTTTTAAGTTTCGCTGGATATGTCCGGCTGAATGGATATTTGTTCACTCCGTGTGGTTGCGGGGACTTTACTCATGTGTTTATAATATACGGTTTCTTACCTCTGGGTACGAGTCTTTGGCAAAAACGTGGAGGAGAGCCGTCTTCCCACACTCCGTATCGCCGACCACCACTATTTTACAGCGCAGTAATCCCTTATTTCCCTCCATCGTGCACCGAGTATCACTGAGTGCGTCTGCTCTGCTGCCTACTTGTCATTTAGCTTAAAACTAGTGGAATGTCAAAAAGCAGCTCTAAATGTTCTAAATGTGTTCTCTTAAAGAAGACGACAAAGTCTGTTCAGATGTAAAAACTTCAGCAGCGCAGTGATGAGATGTAGTTTCAGCTACATGCTCTGCGTAATGCTGCGCTCCTCCGCTCCACGGCTGAACTGAGGCGGACAGACAACAACTGTCAAGGCGCGTCACTGAAACGGGCTTCCGGTGGGATATTTCAAAAATAAAATACAATGTGCATCTTGTCAAATGGGTAGCTACTACTTATTTGTCGGTTACACGCTAGATAAGAGGCAAACTAAACTTGCCTGAATATTTGGTAGCCTTTTCCTAACTGTTACTCATTTAAATCATTTATGACATTTATTATAGGCTATTTGTCATTTACAATAACATCAGTGAGCTGGCTGATGTGTTTATAGACAGAGATAAATAAATCATTGTAGCTCCATCTTCTGGTCAAACTGAAGTAAGTCAATCTATTTTCCAAATGTGTGTTTTTCATTCATATTTTTTATTTTACTACATTTTATCATCTTAAATATCACAGCAATACTGTTTGTTCAATTATACTAACTTCTGTGTTGATAACACAATACAAATATTCTTGTCAATGATCTTCTTTGGGGATCAAATGTTTGTTAAGATTGTATATTCAAAATCTACATCCAAAAGCACAACTGGTTTTCTTAGTTTGACAGCAGTAACAAAAACGATATGCAAAATGCTGAATTATAATAAATGTATATAGAAAATAAAATACCAAAAAACAACTCCACCCCTCTGTTCCAGAGCAAAGAAGCCCATAATTAAGTGGTGTGTGTGTGTGTGTGTGTGTGTGTGTGTGTGTGTGTGTGTGTGTGTGTGTGTGTGTGTGTGTGTGTGTGTGTGTGTGTGTGTGTGTGTGTGTGTGTGTGCGTGCGAGTGTGTGTTTAGAAAATAGAGAGCATCTGAGAACACTTATAACGTGTCTCTCAGACCAGAGTTAGTGACCACAGATGTTTGTTTTGTTTTCCCAACTGAGTGTGTTGCCTGTGTGGCCCAACGTGCAGATCTGTGCAGACCATGTGGTGCAGACTCACTTCCATCAAACTGAAGTATTAAACTGAACTATTACATGAGTCTTTATATTAGCATAAGGAATATCCTGCCCTTAAAAAACAACTCTCTGTTTCTCACCATCTCTCCACTTCCTGGCACACAGATTCAACCATGTGAGAACGCTGCTCCAGTTTCAGGGTGCAATCTTGAACCCACTGTGTGTGGCATGTTGGGTGACTGAAACCAGTAAATGCCATTATAACGGAAATAACCTTATAAGCTTTTAATATGTTTTGAGTGCCTCAATATAAATTGTCTAGCTGTTTTAGTTTTTTCTTTTTTAAAGCCCTTAAACACATCAGAACGTCCATTATTTATTTTAATAATGGATTACAGTGTCTGTTCTCATTCTTAAACAACAGTTTTTCTATTAATTGGTTGTTTTAATGAGTTATCAATAATAATGATAGTCACAAACTTAAAATTAACAAAATACTTTAACTTTTAGGTGGGAACCCCACTTATATTTGTTCCCATTTTTGCAAAATCCACAAAAAGTGGTGAAATAATAATGGATTCACAGATGTGAACCAGATATATATTATATAGTTAACTCTTAAATAGCAGACGAGTGAACTGCTGCATGTTCTTCCTCCAGCTGTGACCTCAGACACCCCCCCCCCCCCTCCTCCCTGTTGACCCCCCTCCCCCCGGTACTCCAGTGTCCGGGGTTTGGAGCTCTCCACAGCTCTCTGGCTCTCATCTCTCAGCTGTTCGCCAACTAAATGGTCGTCATTTTTAAGAGGTGTCAAGCCGGCGACAATCAGGTAGAAAAACACTGGAAGTTGCAAGACTAAGCATTCAAATAAAAGCCTCCATTCATAAATGGAATCATCGAGAATAAATATTGAGCACAACCAAGCATCAACAAAGTTATAATGTTCATTGCTTACCCTGCAAAGCAATTGTAATGTTGATTAGCCAAGTCTTCATGGGATATATGAAGCTATTTGATATTTCAGATATAACATATTTTATTTTCATTTAGGTTTTTACAACATAATGCATTAGACTCAAACTCTGTTGACATGTGTTTTACTTATTGTGCATACTCAATTGTTTCCTTTGTCTCTAAGACCTTATTAATGGTTTTCTTACAATATATCTTGTGTTTAATTATTTGTTCTAGTGACTTATTTTATTTTATGATTGTAGCGTTGTGTAATGTAATCTCATGTATTGTTTTAAACTTGCTCTATGAAGCTCATTGGGCTGCATGAGGTGCTATATAAATATAGTTAAAACGGTTTTAGGCGTCTCTCATTTCAAAACCGCCATTATAACTGTGCAACACTTTTTTGAAGTGTTTTATTGTGAAAATCCAAACCGGAACTCATGTTTTTAAATCTGTCAGCATTGACGTTGGTCACTTGTTGAGCGCACAAATAGGAGGAAACCCCGCAGATATTCTCATTTTACAAACGACAGACCGTCTCCAGTGAGGTTGCTCTTGTATGTCAGCTCTCTCTCCAATAACTGCATTACCGGGAACTGTTCATCTCCATTTAGTGATAATCTTCTTTAAAGAAACGCCCCAAATAACCAGAACTATCGATCAGGACTAACAACCTGAAGTCGTGCTCATCACAAGAGGCTATGATGTCTGGCGAAGAGGCTCCAACTCTGCAGCCTGAGCAGGAGAAGCAGCCCGACGAGGAGGCGGCCTCAGAGGCTCCGCAGCAGTCCGGGAGCAGCAGCCCTGCGGCGGCCGAGGAGCAGCCTCTCTCCATCCGGGCTCTGGTCCTCACGGGCTACGGGGGGCTATGATAAAGTGAAGCTGCAGGTGAAGACGCAGAAGCAGCAGCTGGCCGCGGGAGAAGTGTTGGTGCGCGTGAAGGCGTGCGGGCTGAACTTCGCGGAGCTGATGGGCAAACAGGGTCTGTACGAGCTGCTGCCCCCCCCGCCCGTCACCCTGGGCATGGAGGGCTCCGGGGTCATCGAGGCGGTCGGGGAGGATGTGAAAGACAGGAAGGTTAGTGAAGGCCTGCTGATCACACCTACAAACACATGACTCACACACCCCTCTCACTCTATCAATGAAGTTGATGCCTATGAAAAGTATAAACCTGCATCCATTGTCACTACTGCCAAACAATATTCTGGAAATATCTTCCAAACACCTAAACCAAGATTTGATTTCTCTTAAGTTCTGTCTTTTATAGAGAATTCAAGAAACCTTGTAAACTGGCCTCCTTGGTTCCTCTTAGTTTCAGTGGGAAAATGACAGTTTAATGCTTTTAACACTTAAAGAATTATCAAATAATTCAGTTAACATGCATTCGGAATGGACATGTATCCTTCCTATAGGTCGCTGACTACGAATGGCTTTCTAAAATTATAAGTATAGTAATTGGGGCTGCAATTAAGATGATTCATGAATAATTTGCATAATATTTTCCCAATCATTGTCTGAAAATTGGCACATCCCATGACTCACACCCCGCCACCCATAGACTGTATATATAAACCCGCCAACATGCACTCATTCAAATAAGTGTTTTCTCGTATAAAGAGTGTAAGCCTGCACCCATTGGTTCTCAGTGGCACGTGCATTGTCACTACTGCCAAAAGAAACGTGCTGGTAATATTTTCCAAACACTAAACCAGATTTGTTTTCTCTTTAGTTTCCACTTGTCTTTTGGATTCAAGAATACGGTTTGCATCTTCAAGGTAGAAAACTGCAAAAGAAACGTCTATAAAAAGTCATGGCAGAGGGAAAATGACAGTCATATAAACCTAATAAGGGATCTCTTTAAATCATTTGTTTTGTCAGACCAACTGTCTGAAACTCCACATATGAACGATTTCAACGTTATAAAATGATTAGAAAAATAGATAATCTCACAAATGAGAGGCTAAAACACAGACATTTGACATGTTCTGTCATATTGCCCATTGGTTAAAGAAAAAGTAGCTTGACATTAAATAATTGTTTAGGCTCTATCAAACAATGCCATCTATTTGGACTTGTTCATGCTTTAAAACATCTCTGTTCAAATTGCTGCACAATGGGAAAGCAGAACCCAATGATAAATAACCTCCACCAGTCTAATCCTTTAATGTTCTGTGGTCTCTTAAAAACAGGATGGAAAGAAGCTTTCTTGCTGCTAAATCTAACATCCTCATGAACAGTTCGTTTTTGATTTACAACGTGTCCTTGAGATGTGTTTGCATTCTTCCTCCCGGCACAAAAGAACATTTACGTTTGCCTTGATAAGAACTTTCCAAAGGTCGAGTTTTATCGTGTCTTCATTTATCAAATCTGATCAAAGGGTTCACAAATATGTATAAGCTCTGTTTCTGTGCTTCCTTTCTAAATCTACTAAATGTTAGACTGGACTTTCTGATGCAGAAAGGCACCTGATTCTGCAGAGCTGAGCTCAGAGAATCCAAGGCCAGTGCTTTTTTTGTGCACTGGGGATATTTAAAAAAAAAAAACAACATGAAGTGTGACTCATTACAAGAAACCTTGACTTCATGTCACAGCTTCTGCAAAGAACTCCCTTTGAGGTTCAGAGGTTTTTTTTCTTGCACTGGTAGAAAGAATAAAGCAACATTTTGAGTTGCTTATGTTCTGCGTGCATACACTAACGCATATGGAAGATGCAAAACACTTGTATTTGAATGAGAAACCGGACTTCTAAGCTGTGCCATTGGGTTCATAAGGAGGGTTTTTTCCTCCCATGCAGAACTCAATGCTCTGATGTTTTTTTCTCCTATTTTTTTTCTCAAACAAACATTTTAGAAACTCCATCCTTCCATAAACCGAGGAATCTCTTTAGGTTTACAATCGGGAATTAAGTTTGAACCATGATCTGCTATTCCTGCCAATATTGTTGAGACAAGTAAAACATTAAGGCAGCTTCACAGTTAATCAGTGTTCCTCCACCAGTCACACGCTATGCCTCTATGGTTCCAGCTACAGTAACCTCAAAGACTCATGATAAAAAGATTTAAAACCTGTTTCCTAGGTTGCGTCTCCTCTCTTGAGCCAGATATGAAAGTCAACTTGCTGATTTTGAACACCTTGGACTAAAATGTA